ATAGACTAGACTATAGACTAGACTATAGACTAGACTATAAACTAGACTATAGACTAGACTATAGACTAGACTATAGACTAGACTATAGACTAGACTATAGACTAGACTATAGACTAGACTATAGACTAGACTATAGACTAGACTATAGACTAGACTATAGACTAGACTATAGACTAGACTATAGACTAGACTATAGACTAGACTATAGACTAGACTATAGACTAGACTATAGACTAGACTATAGACTAGACTATAGACTAGACTATAGACTAGACTATAGACTAGACTATAGACTAGACTATAGACTAGACTATAGACTAGACTATAGACTAGACTATAGACTAGACTATAGACTAGACTATAGACTAGACTATAGACTAGACTATAGACTAGACTATAGACTAGACTAGACTATAGACTAGACTACTAGACTAGACTATAGACTATAGACTACTATAGACTAGACTATAGACTAGACTATATACTAGACTATAGACTAGACTAGACTAGACGACTACAGACTAGACGACTACAGTCTAGACGACTACAGGCTAGACGACTACAGACTAGATGACTACAGGCTAGACGACTGTAGACTAGACGACTGCAGACTAGACGACTAGACGACTACAGACTCGACGACCACAGACTAGACGACTACAGACTAGACGACCACAGACTAGACGACTACAGACTAGACGACTACAGACTATAGACTAGACTATAGACTAGACTATAGACTAGGCTATAGACTAGACTATAGACTAGGCTATAGACTAGACTATAGACTAGACTATAGACTAGACTATAGACTAGACTATAGACTAGACTATAGACTAGACTATAGACTAGACTATAGACTAGACTATAGACTAGACTATAGACTAGACTATAGACTAGACTATAGACTAGACTATAGACTAGACTATAGACTAGACTATAGACTAGGCTATAGACTAGGCTATAGACTAGACTATAGACTAGACTATAGATTGGACTATAGACTAGACTATAGACTCGACTATAGACTCGACTATAGACTAGACTATAAACTAGACTATAGACTAGACTATAGACCAGACTATAATATAGACTAGACCCATAAATTTGTCAGTTTACAAAAAAAAAAAAAAAAGACTATAGACTAGACTATAGACTAGACTATAGACTAGACTATAGACTAGACTATAGACTAGACTATAGACTAGACTATAAACAAGACTATAGACTAGACTGTAGACTAGACTATAGACTAGACTATAGACTAGGCTATAGACTAGACTATAGACTAGGCTATAGACTAGACTATAGACTAGGCTATAGACTAGACTATAGACTAGGCTAAAGACTAGACTATAGACTAGGCTATAGACTAGACTATAGACTAGACTATAGACTAGACTATAGACTAGACTATAGACTAGACTATAGACTAGACTATAGACTAGACTATAGACTAGACTATAGACTAGACTATAGACTAGACTATAGACTAGACTATAGACTAGACTATAGACTAGACTATAGACTAGACTATAGACTAGACTATAGACGAGACTATAGACTAGACTATAGACTAGACTATAGAGTAGACTATAGACTAGACTATAGACTAGACTATAGACTAGACTATAGACTAGGCTATAGACTAGACTATAGACTAGACTATAGACTGGACTATAGACTAGACTATAGACTAGACTATACTATAGACTAGACTTTAGACTACACTATAGACTAGACTATAGACTAGACAATAGACTAGACTATAGACTAGACTATAGACTAGGCTATAGACTAGACTATAGACTAGACTATAGACTGGACTATAGACTAGACTATAGACTAGACTATAGACTCGACTATAGACTCGACTATAGACTAGACTATAAACTAGACTATAGACTAGACTATAGACTGGACTATAGACTAGACTATAGACTAGACTATAGACTCGACTATAGACTCGACTATAGACTAGACTATAAACTAGACTATAGACTAGACTATAGACCAGACTATAATAAAGACTAGACCCATAAATTTATCAGTTAACAAAAATTCTGTCCTAAGTCCTCAGAAATATACTACTACTACCGATATCTTGTATACATACTAATTTTAAAAGTGAAACCTTTCATTCTTCTCCATTTTAGTTATGTCATCATGGAAAATTTACGATATTTTCTGTATCAATATCCTCCAGAAGCTGCTATATATTTTGGGGCCAAATTTAAACGTTTTGTTAAACAGGTAAAGTCTAAATAAATCGAACAAACATAATTTCCATTTAACACTAAAAATCCTCTTTTTCCTTAAAAGGGCTACATGTCTGGCGGTGCTGGTTACGTTCTTAGTCGAGAAGCTCTCAAAAAATTTGCCACCGAAGCCTATGACGATCCCGACAAATGCGGCGAATCTTATGAAGCAGAAGATGTACAGTTGGGCATGTGTTTAGAAAATGCTGGTGTAATAGCCGGTGATTCTAGAGATGAAGAAGGTAATGAACGTTTTCTGCCACTACCCATAGAATATTTGATACCCGAAGATAAAACATGGTGGTATAAAAATTATTCTTATTATCCACAAAAAGAAGTAAGTGTATAAATTTAATTTTATTCATATAGATTATTTTTATACAAGAATTTCTACAATTTCAGAATGCCACTTGCTGTTCACCCAGTGCCATATCATTCCATTATATTGTTGCTGATCAGTTATATGTTTTAGATTATTTTTTATATACCTTAAGAGTTGTGGGTATTTATAATAATTTTATATTACCTAAGAAAATACCATTATCCAATATATTAACAGAGGGTTTGGATAATTTTGAACCCATACCAGAACCACCGGTTGATATAACTTAATTCAATTTAACCTTTTTAAAAATATGTGATATTTTTGTTCTTTTGTTAGTATATTTGCCAAATATTTATAAATAAATTAATTAAAAATAATCAAATAAACTAATTTAAACTAATAATACTTGAGTCTTTAAGGATTTAACAACACTTTATTATATTTTATATAAGCTAAATTATTCTTAAACCTGATTAAGCCAACACCTTCCATGTAACACCCCAGTTCTACAAGTCCCTAATAAGTAAAGAAATCTCGTTGGAAATTTGATATAGTATTCTTCTGATCAACTGCGTTAATAATAAGACAATAATGATGTGATCTAAGAACATATTAAAGATAGTGGTTTCAAATCTGACTAAAAAGTCCTCATCTGAAATCACTAATGTTAATATCGTTACTACTTATTAATCACAATAATTTGTTTTAAGAAATTAATCAAAATTTCAAATAATTTAGAACCCGGCCCAGAGTTTCTTTAAGTCAGATTGAAAGATCCTCATCTGAAATTACTTGGACTTAGATGAGGACTTTTAGATTCCTCATTCCACAGTGGAACAGTAATTTGCTCTAAGAAATTAATCAAAATTTCAAATAATTTAGGACCCGGTCCATAGTAGATTTAAGTTAGATTGAAAGGCCTTCATTTGAAATCGCTTGGATTCAGATGAGGACCTTTAGATCCATTCCACAGTGGGACATTATCAAATTGTTTTATATAAATACATCTGCCATTTAAAAACGGCTTTTCCGATCGGAATAAACAGTGACATGGGACCCCACAATGCCCCAGGGTCGACGCTATGAAGGCTCAAGGCAGGGGTACTTTCGACATTTAAAGATTTTTATATTTGAAAATCGGCTAGGTCTTAAATATGCCCATACCTTGGTCCGTTATTTGCATATCCTTCACCTTCCATCCGCATGTTTGTTTAAATCTGTATTCAGAAGACCCCCAGATATCTGCAAGTTTCGAATTTTCAATAATTCTATCAGACATGCTTTCGAGAAGATCGCAATTCAACAAAATCGATCCATAAAAAATAGAGATATGAGTAAATTTCCGAAACCACCTATGACAATCCTCATAAATTTTATTAGAGAAATGTATGTGCTTATGTGACACTTATACATAATATGAATTATGGACTGATTCTCAAAAAATTTGGTAGTGAAATTATGGATCCTATAAAACCCGTAAATATTGAATTTCATTGCTATTTTTGTATTTGTAACCAGTTGTGAGACATTGTGTCATTTCCGAAAGAGGACCTTATTAAGGGGGTAGGGTTAATTATGAGCCGATCCTTATCAGATTCTTATTCTTATAAAACTTGTCTATGGTGAATTTCGACACCGTACTGCTGTTATTAAGTTAGTTACAGTCTGTTTCTGAAGGGGATCCTATAAGGGGGTAGGGTCAATTATAGACCGATCCTTATCAAATTAGAAAGTAGAGAATTTGTTCTTCTTATAAAATTTGTTTGTGTTAAAATTCCTCACTTTACTTCTATTATTTATGCCTTCGTTTTTGCAGGCGATCGTAGTAAGCACTTATTTAACTCCCTACCTGTAAACGGGCGTGGTAAGTACTTGCTTAAAATGTCAAGAAATGTAAAAATAATGACTTAAAATGTTATAGTTTAAGTATAGTTTACTTTTCAATGATAGTTTTGTAAATCTGGTTGATCAACATGTGTTAAAATTCACGCACCCACTTGTCATTAAAACCACATACTTATGTTCGTCGATTTTACATAATACCTACTCAGTTTTAGCAGAACTTTGAACATAAATATATGAAAAAAATTATGCAAAACTAAATATAAATTAAAATATTATTACTTCTTGACAAAAAAATCTCTATAAACCGGAATTTATTAATAAAATCTATTAATTAATATGCAAACAAATACAACTTGAATAGCAGAAGCAGATCAACAAGTAGCTGATCAACACTGTATCAGAAGCTTAACGTATTTTTAAAAATTTTAATACACACAACTGGCAATGCTGTTAAAAAGAAATTCCCAAAACACGCAAAAACGCTCTTTCGATCAGTTACTCAGTTAATCTCATTCGAAAAGAAGACGAAGCTTTTAAAAACACAAGCATTCGATAAACAACAGTTCAAACCCCTTAAATTCGCTAAACAAAACCCACAGCAAAAGCCTCAGTTAAACAATAACAAAACGGAACAAGTTTTGTGACTTAAACAACAATTTAAGAATTTAAATAACAATAAATAAAATTGTTAAACAGTAATATTATTAAGAAAATAAGTGAAATTGGAAAAAACCCCCATAAAAAATATGGTAAAATGTAAAAATTCTAGCTCGTTGGGTCCCATATCACGAAATATTATATGTTTGACATTGGGTCTATTAATCGGCATAAGATTGACAACATTTTGGTATGATTTACAAGAAGGTGATGTTGATGAATTTTTGGCAGATGCTGTTGAAACAACAACAATAACAACAACACCTTCCTCATCACCATCTCTACAGGAATATGAACAATTGTCACAACAATTGTTTAATAACACCCGAGTTCTATGTTGGATAATGACCAGTCCCAAAAATCATCACCACAAAGCCATACATATCCGTCAAACGTGGGGTACACGTTGCAATAAACTATTATTTATGAGCACAGAGCGTGATGAAGAATTGCCAAGTGTTAAATTGGATGATGTTGAGGAAGGCCGTCATAATCTTTGGAATAAAACCAAAAAGGCCTTGAAATATATTTATGATCATCATTTTGACGATGCTGAATGGTTTTTAAAGGCTGATGATGATACGTAAGTTTAAACTGTTAATAAGTTTAGATAAGATCTTATAATTTTAATTACTATTTGGTATTCGAAGTTTAAAGCTGGTGTTAAGCATTAAATAAAATTATTAAAAAAAAAACAACCGCAACTTAAAGAAAATGTATTAAGTTGAGTCATAAAAAATTTTAATATTTATATAAAAAAGTGCTAAATAATAAATATTTGTAAATTACAAAGATATTGAATACGTTTGTGCCGAATTTTATATATTCACCCACAAAAAGGGGACTTCACTTTATATATTAATTTATTGGTGGTTTTTTATGCTTATATAAAACATAATTGTGTCGAGATTCAAGTATGTATATTTGAAGTAGTTGTGAGCTAAAAAGTCCAAACCAGAAGGTCCGGTTGTAGGATGGCTAGGTGAAGTAATGTCCAAATTTCATCAAAATATATTGAAAATTGCGGCCAACATATCTTGAAACGCACGCTATTATTTGTGTAAATTTTTACGACCCATAACAAATAATTAGTTCTATTTCGTAGAGATTTTACTGAAACGTCACTGAGAAATCTGCAGACTATTGTTTATGATTCTACGGCAGATAGAATCATCTAATCGAACATTTGAGATATTGATATTAAAGAGTCTTTTGTATTGTTTGAATTTTGCTTAAAGCTTTTATATATGATTAATTTTACTTTACAGTCAAATTTTTGGGTATTTAGAACTAACTTGTACATGGTTTTATCGCAAATGATAAAACCATTCAAAGACTTTGGTTCAATAAAATCTGATGAAATGACAAAATATTTGACATTTAATCACGTACTGAGCTTGATATACATATTTATTGCCCACAACTAAATTACACAACCGCAGAAATTATATATACATCAGATGTTTGCAGATTAGAATATTGTCTATATTTTTCATGTTTTAAATTATTAAATAAACTTTCCACTAGACAACAGAACATACTATAGCCCAGATCATAGATTAGACTACAGACTAGACTATAGACTAGACTATAGACTAGACTATAGACTAGACTATAGACTAGACTATAGACTAGACTATAGACTAGACTATAGACTAGAATAGACTAGACTATAGACTAGGACTATAGACTAGACTATAGACTAGACTATAGACTAGACTATAGACTAGACTATAGACTAGACTATAGACTAGACTATAGACTAGACTATAGACTAGACTATAGACTAGACTAGACTAGACTAGGACTAGACTAAGACTAGACTATAGACTAGACTATAGACTAGACTATAGACTAGACTATAGACTAGACTATAGACTAGACTATAGACTAGACTATAGACTATAGACTATAGACTAGACTATAGCTAGACATAGACTAGACTATAGGACAGCCTATAGCCTAGACTATAGACTAGACTATAGACTAGACTATAGACTAGACTATAGACTAGACTATAGACTAGACTATAGACTAGACTATCGACTAGACTATAGGACTAGACTATAGACTAGACTATAGACTAGACTATAGACTAGACTATAGACTAGACTATAGACTAGACTAGTAGACTAGACTATAGACTAGACTATAGACTAGATTATAGACTAGACTATAGACTAGACTATAGACTAGACTATAGACTAGACTATAGACTAGACTATAGACTAGACTATAGACTAGACTATAGACTAGACTATAGACTAGACTAGACTATAGATCGACTAGACTAAGACTAGACTATAGACTAGGACTATAGACTTAGACTATAGACTAGACTATAGACTAGACTATAGACTAGACTATAGACTAGACTATAGACTAGACTATAGACTAGACTATAGACTAGACTATAGACTAGACTATAGACTAGGACTATAGACTAGACTATAGACTAGACTATAGACTAGACTATAGACTAGACATAGACTAGACTATAGACTACTAGACTATAGACTAGACTATAGACTAGAATAGCTAGACTAGACTACGACTATAGACTAGACTATAGACTAGACTATAGACTAGACTATAGACTAGACTATAGACTAGACTATAGACTAGACTATAGACTATAGACTAGACTAGACTATAGATTAGACTATAGACTAGACTATAGACTAGACTATAGACTAGACTATAGACTAGACTATAGACTAGACTATAGACTAGACTATAGACTAGACTATAGACTAGACTATAGACTAGACTATAGACTAGACTATAGACTAGACTATAGACTAGACTATAGACTAGACTATAGACTAGACTATAGACTGGACTATAGACTGGACTATAGACTAGACTATAGACTAGACTATAGACCAGAATATAGACTGGACTACAGACTAGGGTAATGGCTTGACTATAGAAAAAAGTATTTTTACTAAATTTTATAAGGATCGGTTCATAATTGTTCATATACCCTATATAAGGTCCCTTCAGAAAATGGATTTAATGCTCATTACTAGACTAAAAGTTGCTCATAACTAAATAAAATTATGAAAAAAGTGGTATGGGAATCAAAATCACTCTACTAAATTTTATGAGAATCGGTCCATAATTGACCTAGTCCTCCACACATGTTCCTTACCAGAAAATAATTATAACGCTCATATTGCTCGGTTCATAACTGAATCAAGCCTCCATTAAACTCTTAAGATCTTAGTCCATATATAGGACCAACTTCCGTGTATAAGTTAGCCGAACATAGCTCTGTTGTTTAAATTTTTATTGATCTGTTTCGATAATATTTAGCATATATTTGTAATGAATTTTTGTATCTACTTTCAGCTATGTTATTATGGAAAATTTACGCTATTTCTTATATCCGTATTCCCCAGAAACTGCCATTTATTTTGGAGCTAAATTCAAGCCCTATATAAAACAAGTAAATATTTTACAATAATCTTTTTAAAAACATCTAATTAAATTACTTAGTTTTCCCAGGGTTATATGTCCGGTGGTGCCGGCTATGTTTTAAGTAAAGAGGCCCTCCGCAAATTCGCCTTAGAAGCCTATGATAATCCTCTTAACTGCCCGAAATTATTTCAATCTGAAGATGTACAATTGGGTTTTTGTATGGAAAATCTTAATGTTATAGCTGGCGACTCTCGCGATGAGCAGGGTTATGAACGTTTTATGCCGCTGGCCGTTAGGCATTTAATACCAAAAGATACTTCGTATTGGTATCAAAATTATGCCTATTATCCTCCGAAACAGGTGAGTTTGAATTGAAATAATGTTTTGAAATTTTATATTACAATTTCTTTTGATATTTTAGAATGGTAGCTGTTGTTCACCTAATGCTGTATCATTTCATTATATAAAACCTAATGAGTTTTATGTTTTAGATTATTTAATTTATACTTTAAGAGCTTTTGGAGTTTTGGGTAATTTTAGGCATAGTTTACCCGAGAAATTAAATGGAGCTGAAGGCGTAAACATAACGGCTAGATAAGTTTAGGTTATAAGTTAAATTTTGTGTAAATATTTCTATAGTTTTTAAGGTTTTCTATACAATTTAAGAACCGGGCGGTTAGTTTGTATGTCTCCGACGCGAAAGAAAAAGCTTTCGAAATTCAATGTTTAAACAGAGTATTTGAACTCCATATTAGGATTCGGAAGAAGAAGGTTTTGAAATTTAATATTTAACAGAGAATTCGAATGTTTTTGTTTTTGAAACGAGTTAAGGAGGAACAACGTTTTTGGTTTCGAAAGTTTTGGGTTTTAAAACGAGTTACGAAGCAACTCTGTATTTGGATTCGAAAAAAAAAACTTTTGAAATTCAATATTTAAACAGATTATTTGAACGTTCTAGAATTGAAACAAATTACGGAGCAACTCCGTATTAGGATTCGGAAGAAAAAGCTTTTGAAATTCAATGTTTAAACAGAGGATTCGAAAGTTTTAAGAGGAACAAAGTATTTGGATTCGAAAGGAAAAACTTTTAAAATTCAATGTTTAAATGGAGGATACAAAATTTCTTAGGCTTGAAATGAGTTACGGGACAACTCCGTATTAAGATTCGGAAGAAAAAGCTTCTGAAATGTTTAACAGAAAAATCGAAAATTTTTGTTTTTGAATCGAGTTAAGGAGCAACAAAGTATTTGGGTTCGAAAGGAAAAACTTTTGAAATTCAATGTTTAAACAGAGGATTCGAAAGTTTTTTGTTTTTGAATCGAGTTAATTGGATTCGAACGGAAAAACTTTTGAAATTAAGCAGAGAATTCGAAAGTTCTTAAGATTCGGAAGAAAAACTTTCTGAAATGCAATGCTTAACAGATAATTCGAAAGTTTTTGTTTTTGAAACAAGTTAAGGAGCAAGTATTTGGATTCGAAAGGAATAACTTTTGAAATTCAATGTTTAAATAGAGGATTCAAAAGTTTTTGGAGTTCAAACGAGTTACCCAACAACTCCGTATTAGGATTCGGAAGAAAAAGCTTTTGAAATCCAATGTTTAAACAGAGGATTCGAAAGTTTTTGTCTTTGAATCGAGTTAAGGAGCAACAAAGTATTTGGATTCGAAAGGAAAAACTTTTGAAATTCAATGTTTAAGCAGAGAATTCGAAAGTTCTTAAGATTCGGAAGAAAAACTTTCTGATATTCAATGCTTAACAGATAATTTGAAAGTTTTTGTTTTTGAAAAACTTTTGAAATTCAATGTTTAAATAGGTGACTCAAATGTTCTTGGCCTTGAAACGAGTTACGGAAGAACTCCGTATTTGGATTCAGAAGTAAAAAGCTTTTGAAATTCTGTCTTAAAAGAACTTTCAAAAGGAGCAACAAAATATTTGAATTCGAAAGGAATAACTTTTGAAATTTAATGTTTAAATAGAGAATACGAAAGTTCTTGGTTTTAAAACGAGTAACGGAGCAACTTCGTATTTGAATTCGGAAGAAAAAGCTTTCAAACTTTAATGTTCGACAGACAATTCGAAAGTTTCAGAAGTTTTGCATTGTACTGAAAGAAATTTATTTAAATAAGACATTATTTTTAAAGTATTAAGTTTCTTTATTGATTTTTAATTCAGATTTGTCATTATAAATTTTAACATATTTTGTTTTATTATTTAATTTATTAGTTTATTTTAATATGTATTTATTAATTTGTTTATTTTTAATATTTAAAAGTTATAAAACTAAACAATTTTTATTTAAGTTTTAGCATTGTGTTATATATTTTTAAACAATTATTTATTTTTTAATTTTCAAAATTATTTTTTTTAGTTTTTAGTTTTTATTAAATTAAGCTTAATTTATTTTTTGCTATTTTTATAATTTGTTATTTAAATATTTGTAATAATTAATATAATTAATAATATTGATTATATTTGTTGTCTAGCTTAATATTTGTTCAATTTTTGTTAGTTTTTTTTTTTTTATTTGTAATAAAAAATATATATTTTTTTCATTTAAATCTGTATATATTTTTAATAAGTGCACTTGCCAATTGTTGTTTTTCGTTTATATTTATTACTATTACTTACTATTTCCTTTTTCTATTTATTTGTAACAGTTTTTTTTTAATTTCAAAACTCTTAGTTGCAACTGTTATTTATTTATTTATTTATTTTAAAAAATATTTTGCAGACTTAAGTTGATATAAACGAAATTATAATTAACATACAAATGCATAGTTTATTTGAAAAAAATCAACTTACATAGTCCACATTGCAGGAAAAATTACTAAAATTATATTATAGTCCGGCATGGCCAATCGTTTGATACCCTACAACTATTATGAATTTCTCATGTAAAGTTAAAGAGTAAATATTTAACATATCAATCTGATCTCCTGACTGCGTCCTTGGTGGGTCCATGACATTCAAATTCAAAACCTAAACTCGAAAACACTTCCTCTTTGTCTATGTAAAATTTTATTACAATCGGACAAACCGTTTAGAAGTTACAGAAGTTTTTCCCCGCTTTAGATCGCAAAGGTCTTCAAAAAATGTATTTCAATAGACATACGAACGGACATGGCTTAATCGACTCCACTATCTATTAGGATCCAGAATATATGTATATACTTTATGGGGAATATTATATTGAGGAAATTACAAACGTTTTCACCCCTATTCGGCATTTCGACTACGTATCTGCTTTCAGTTAGGCTACCATCGAAAATTGGTATTCCAAGAAAAAACGGAATCGTAAGAAAAAGAAGAAGCAATTCCACTTTATTTCAATGTTTTACGATTGCGTGTATTCTGGGCCCAAATTATCGCATACGATATCGATCGAAATCTCCATTTAAATTCTATTGAGATTGTTATTTTAGTGACGGAGCTTCGAATCGAAATGCAGAATACCAAAGTTGCTAAACGGATAAAATTTCGATTCGAATTGAAATGCAGAATAGTGAGTGAATGACCATCTTGTATATGTACCTTTTTCACGAATGTGAAGGGGTTTAAAACACAACCAACTATGGGCCAACAAAGTATACTTTTTTAAAGGACTAAGAAGCGCTGAATTCGAATCTCTATCACATCATGTTTTTCACTTATTCACCCTCATATCGCTAATAAAAGTGAAATTTTTATTTCCCTCGAAGTGAAAATTATTATTGAGAATTTGACGTGAACAATAGATTCACAATAGTTCGAAATATTTCATAACAGCGACCATTTTTTAACACCAAAAAAGTTACGGAATGAAGAAAAAGTAACATATTTCATAAGAAATTTTGTCTATAGATAGGAGTGATCGTTTTTTATTAAAAATAAGATCGAAATAAACAAAAACGTTGTTGAAACAACTGGATCTACGTCCTACGGAACGTATATGTAACGTATATATAACGATTCGGTAATGTTTATGCGAAAGTAAACATTTCGAAGTAAAAATCATTGATGAATAAACAACTTATAAAAAAGTTTTAACGCTCTTAAAGAGTCAGTTTTAAATATTCCGAAAACATATCACTTTAGTACAGTATGAGTGCGATCTAGAGCATTCAATTGCGACCGAAATCATTAAGCTTTGGGACAAAATTTTGGCATCTGAAAGTGCTCGAAATTTCTAATTAAAATTCAGTTACGCAAAGATCAAAAAGCCAACGGAATCGTAAGAAAACTTTTCGTTTTAATGCATTACTTTCATAGCTCTTTGGAATTTACCTTTTAAGAGATGGAGCACATTTCTATTTGAATTGAAATACAAAATAGGAGTGATTGTTTTCTTTTAAATTTACAACTTGCCCCCTGATTACGGACTTCGATCTCTTTAGTACCGATCATGGTATAAGTGCGTTCTAGTTAAACAAATTATGTTCTAGTTAAGAACGAATTAAGTTATTCGTGATCGAAAGAGCATTCAATTGCCACCGAAATCATTAAGTTTTAAAGCCAAATTAAAGCCACACGAAAGTGCTCGAAATTTCTAATTAAGAAAACTTTTCGTTTTAATGCAAATTTTCAGGCCATATCGAATGACAATATCATAAATTCGAAAACAGATTTCTTTAGTACAGATCATGGTATAAGTGCGTTCTAGTTAAACGAATTAAGTTCTAGTTAAGAACGAATTAAGTTATTCGTGATCGAAAGAGCATTCAATTGCGACCGAAATCATTAAGTTTTGAAGCCAAATTAAAAGCACCCAATAGTGCTCGAAATTTTTAATTAAATTTCAGTTACGCAAAGATCAAAAAGCATATGTACATCAAATCCGAAGACATACACCTAGGCCTCTATCGGGCCTGTTGTGCCCTGCTTAACCAGTGCCTCAGGTGGGAATCGAACCCACCACCTCCGGTCTACCAGACTAGAACACTAACCACTAACCTACCGGAGGCCACATTTGAATTGTAACGCATAATAACTTGCTCCCTGATTACGGACTTCGAAAGCAAAATTAAGGCCATTTCGAATGACACGATCACGACAATGGATATACCCTTTTCTATTCCATCTGTTTTGCATAATAGTTATATAATTTAGTAATGATTTAAGTTTCAAATCGTGGACTTAATACCAAACCCTCGTATTATAACTAATTATTGTTGAAAATTTGAATAGGACTTAAGACTTTTGTATAATACTCCGGACTAGTTTTAGTGTATACTTCGCTAGTGACTTAGGTTGCTGGAACTTAACGTACAATTTGCGACAGTAACATTTAATCGAACAAGTACATTTTAATATGTTACGATTCCTTATTTTATATTGTTTATCCAGTACCGGAATTTACCAGATAGAATCAGTAACTCTCTCAAATATTCGGCCAAGAGTTTGTCTACTCCAGCAACAACTTTACAGTAGAGAAGTTTAAAAAAAAAACTCTTTTTGTTTAATGTTTTCGATAGATTTAGGTTTAGAAGGGTTATGCTCCATAAAAAAAGATGGATATCACACTCCATTGTGATTCCTTTCAAAGAGTGAGGATTCAAGAACAGAGAAACAATAACACTACAAGAAAAACTAGAAAGAAAGAAGAAGATTGATAAAATTATAGAAATAGTTATCAGTCAATGCCTTAAAGGCTGAAGAGATGAGAGAGAATATCTCTGACCCCCTATAAAGCCCAGTCGAAGAAGTAACTAATTCCCTTTCGTCATTATACCCCATTTCGTCATGGAATCTATTCCCTAGTCATTTCAGCCTAAGATTCTGCATCCTAGTCCGGTATAATGCTGCCCCACTTACTGACAAAAACCCTAACTGAACAATGCCCCCTTAGCATACCTATCAGTAACCTAAGACTGCTTCTATCCAGTCCTATAAGTAGTTGGGAAGCGCCCATATCAAGTTTTGGCCATAGGGCCTTTGATATTTTGCAATCCAATCTACTATAGCAGTAGAGGTCTATGATGTCACGGAATCTTTCGAATATCAACCTATAATAATGACAAATGGGTGGCGTTCCCAGGACAATTTAATCTCCGCTCCGGAACGACCCGATTCTCAATCGGCCAAAGATTATCAACTCAGCAACAGCTGTATCAACCGGAAGTTTTTTCCCCACGGAAGAACATCCAGTTACAGCCAACCTGTTACAACAACAACAAATGGGTGGTCTTACCGTCCTTTCTCTGTCATCTATATAAAGGTTCGAACCTAATCTAGCCAGTTCGTGCGCAAACTCATTACCATGACCATTACAGTTATATATTATATATTTTCGATAAATTCAATTATCACAAGTGCCAGTAACACGGACTAGGTTTAAATAGTTTTCAATGAAACTAGAGAAATTTTAATATCGCTTATCAATTGAAGAAGTTTTTGGCATAAAATTGTGTCTTTATAATAGAAAGTTTTCGAAATTATAGTCTATTTATAAAAATTTTTAAACTGGTTATATGTTTATAGAGAATTTCTCTTTATGGAAACAAAACGATTCCTTTTAACTGATCGGTTTCTTTATTCCAAGAAACTTTTTGAAAACGATTCGAAAGCGAAAATAATTTTGAAACGATGTCCTGTTAATAGACATTACAGATCATATTTTTTTCGAAATTTTGTAAACTAAAATTTGTGTTTTTGTTTTTATAACTAAAATACCACAAAAAAAACAAAATTATAAAAAATTTTGCAAAAACTAAAAACACTAGATAATTCTGTGAAATAATGAACTTTTGATTCAAACATCAGTTCCTCTTACATATAGAAATTAATTTTTTATTTAAATTATTTTCTTCTTTAGTTGTCATTATTAGTTTTATTATACTGCTTTTTGTTCTATATAAAAATATAATTTTTTTTTATTATTCGAAAATATTTATTTATTTTTGGTTTTGAAAAAATATTGAATTTATTTTGTTTGTAAGTATGGATTTTATTTTCGGTTTTTACTCTTTATTAGTAATATTTTGCTTTAAGTTTAGTTTTTTTTTATTTCAAAAAAATATTGGCACAATTTATCATTTTTTTTTTTTTTTAAGTAAAATTGTATTTTTTTTATTAGGGAGTTAATTTTATATAAATTTTAGTTTAATTTATTAACTTTTATTAAATATTTTATTAGTTAGGCTAAATTTGTTTGTTACTTAAACTATTTTTAAAAGATATTTTTGTTATTTCTTTTTAAATTTTTTCTTTTTATTTAA